TCCCACCAGTAGTCGGACAAGTACCACACAACTGGGTGAGGCCAGCCCGAATCGGGATCGATCCATGTGTCAAAGTACTCCGTATTCCATACTTTGGTGTAGACTTCGTCCTCCTCTTCGTCCTCGTACTCTGTAGACCTCTTCCTAGGTCGAGGACGAGTTGGAGGGCAATGACGACAATGAGAAGGCGGAATGCGATGAAGAGGACGAGGAACGGAGAACGTCAGATGCGACGCTGTGGAGCCATCCCAACGTCAGAGTCGTCTCTCGTTCTCTCGTTGCGATCGTCTGTGTGGTCGTCGCCCCTCGTCGCGATCCTCGACGCGCTCAATCTCTGCCTGCCCCGAGGTTCCTCGCCCCTCGCCCTCTGCCCTCGACGGGGGGGGGGGGGGTGATGCGGGGTGTCTTGAGGGCGGCTCTCCTGGTGACCGCAGGATAGCAGCGATGCTATGTTGAATGGCAATATAGCGCCTGCTTGATTCATTGCTCGATGCGCGCGCGCGCGAGCTGCCGCGCGTGACGCGCGCATGCGCTGCGTGCGTGTCCCGCCAGCCCTCTGGGCGCATGTGGTCTAACGATTTTCGTTTTTTCCTCATCCAGGAACCCTCTTCACCTTCGCCCCCCCCCCCCCCCCCCCCCCCCCTCGACTTCCCCGGGGGAAGGGGGGGGGGGCGGGGAGAGAGGTCCGCGGGTGGTCGGGGTGCCGCGCGTCGCTCAAGATGGCCCCAAGAGGGCCTCCGATGCTCCGAGATGGCCGCCAAGATGCCTCAAGATAGCCGAAGTTGATCCAACGCAGCTTCCGGCGCGCCTCCAAGAGGCCCCCCGATGGCCACAGGGCGGTCCCCAGCGCTCTCGGAAATCTTTCGCCCCCCCCCCCAAGAGCCCAAATCCTTCGAACACCTGATGACAATTCATGATGTTCGCCTTCTCGCCGCTTCGCTGCCCGCGCGCTTCGGGCGCCTCGCGGCGGCCCCAAGATGGCCCGGGAAGGCCTCGAGAGCGGCCCGGGATGCCACTGGGGCGGCCCCGAGCACGCGCGAGAGCGCCTCCAGGGGGCTCCAAGAGCGCCCCGAGAAGGGGTTTTCAACTCGGGGGGGGGGGGGTCGATCGGGCGCCCCCTTCCGTTGATCGATGGCTTCGAAGATGGCCTCAAGATGCGCCCCAGGGCCCCCGAGAGAGCCCCGAGACAGCCACTCTCGGGTCCCAAGAGGTCCCAGGAGGGCCCAAGACGGTCCCCGGGGGCCCCCGAGTGGCTTCAAAGAGCCCAAGATGCCTTCCAAGATGGCTCAGATAGTCCAAGCTGGCCCCAAGTGGCCCCCAATCTGCTCCAAACGGCCCCGAGACCGCTCCTGGGCCGCCGGGGGGGGGCCCAAGAAACGGTCCGCGGGCTCTCGGGGGGGGGGGGGGCGGAAGCGAGCCCCCCCCCCCCCCCCCTCCCTCCTGTAATCGATGGCCCCCAAGGTGATCCCAAGAAGCCTTCCTGGGTTACCGAAAGGGCCCCAAGAGGGCACCCAACGCTCCCAGAGAGCACCAGCAGCAGCAGCAGCCGCAATAATACCTCTAGATGGTTCCATGAGTCCTCGTCCGCGTCGTCCTCGCCCTAGTCCTCGCCCTCCTCGCCCCCGTCCTCATCCGCGCCCTCGCCCCCGCCGCCCGCCTCGCCATCGTCGCCCCCGCCGCCCCCCCCGCCCCGCCCCTCGCCCATCCCCTCGGAGGAGGCCCAGAGAGGCCTTCCAAGGCCACCCCCTTGCTCCTAGTGATCTCTCGGCTCACCCCAGTTGCTCGCACTGTTCCCCTACATGTGTCTCTTCGCCCCCATTTCCCGTCAGCTCCCATGGGCAGGGCTTCTGAATGGGCTGGTGGGGGTGCGCGAAGCGTGGGGAATTATCGCGACATCTCTGCGCGATGATATTCCCAACGAAATATCGCGGCCGCTCGCGTGCGGCACCGGCGGCGGCCTGTCGCCCGCTGCCGCGGCCACCCGCGCTGCCGCCGACGTAAACATGCGGGGCACACTGGCGCGGGCAGCGCGGAGGTGGCGGTCACCACCCGGCCGTCGCCGCCGTTGCCGCCGCCCTTGCCGTGCATTTTCCGCAGCCGCTCCAACTCTTCAAGCTCGGCGTCGGCCACGTCGGCATGAGCAATGTCACGCCCAAACCGTTTGTCATGCATGAATGACGGAAGCCTGCTCAGCCTGCCCTGTCCAACGTCGCCGCCCTTGGCGCCGCCGCATCTGCCTGGGTCGCCGCCCCTGCCGCCGACGCCCCCGCCCGGGGCGCTGCCCTTGCCGCCGACGCCCTTGCCGTTGAGAGTGTCGTTGCCGCCATGGCCTACAACGTCGATGAGGCCCGGCTACAGCAGCTGTTGCAGCGCGTCGTTGATGCCGTCGTCGTTGCCCTCGCCCGCCGCCTTGCCGCCGGCGCTGTCGTCGTTGCCCACGCCCGCGCCCATGCCGTTGAAGGCGGTCGCCGCCGTGGCCTGCCACTTCGACGAGCCCGCGCTCCAGCAGCTGATGCAGCGCGTCATTGATGCCGTCGTTGTTGCCCTTGCCCGCCGCCTTGCCGTCGGCGCTGTCGACGTCGCCCTCGCCCGCGCCCCAGCCGCCGGCGCCGTCGCCGTCGCTGCCGCAGCCCCTCCGAGCGAGAGCGGCCCCTTGAAACCATCTCGACGGCAGCTGCCAGGGCCGCCGCGGGCGAGAGAAGAAAGACGCGAGCCGGGAAGCTCGCGCAAGTGAAAGGGAGAGGGCGGCGGAGAGGGCCACGGGGCGCGATGGGCTCGATGACGAGAGCCCCCCCCGCCCTCCCGCGCAGCGCGCGAAAATCCATTCGCCTGCCGCGCCGCCCCTCGCCCCCCCCCCCGCAGCGCGCGAACGTCGATTTTCGCGCGCTGCGGCCCGCCCCCCCCCCCCCCCCCCCCCTTCCGCGGCGCGCGAAAATCGATCTGCGCGCGCTGCGCCCAACTCCCCGCAGCGCGCGAAAATCGATTCTCGCGCGCCTCCCCCCAGGCCACAGCGCGCGACAACGGGCGTTCGCGTGCTGCGCCCCCCCCCGGGCCACGCTTAAAACCCAAATCAGGTTCTAACCGTGGCGGTTAGAACTCGATTTGAATTCTAACAGCACAGGTTAGAACTCGATTTTAATTCTAACAGCCCAGGTCAGAACTCGCGTTGAATTCTAACAGCCCATGATGGAACTCAATTTGAAGTCTAGTAACCCAGCGTTAGAACTCGCTTCAAGTTCTAACAACCCACGTTAGAATCCTATTGAACTATTACAGCCCATGTTAGAACTCGATTGAGCTCTACTGGCCCACGTTAGAACTCGGTTGAGTTCTAACATCCCATGCTAGAACCCGATTTGGGATCGAACAGCCCATGTTAGAACTCGGTTTGAGTTAGACCAGTCCGCGTAAACAAATCTCGACGACGTGAGTTCTAACTGTCCATGTTAGAGCTCGGTTTGAACTGTGAGAGCCCATGTTAGAACTCGCTTTGAATTATGACGGGCCATGTTCGTACTCGATTTGAGTTCTAGCAGCCCCTGTTAAAGCTCGATTGGAATTCTAACGGACCATGTTAGAGCTCGATTGAGTTCTTACAACCCATGTTAGAACTCGATTTGAATTCTAACAGTCCATGTGAGAACTTGATTGAGGTCTAGCAGCCCATACTAGAATTCGCTATGAGTTCGAACGGATCTTGTTTGGACCCGACGTGAGTTCGAACAGCCGATGTTAGAACCCGACGTGAGTTCTAACCGCCCAGGCTAGAACCCGATTGAGTTCCCACCGCCCACGTTAGAACTCGATTGAATTCCAACAGCCCACGTTAGAACTCGATTCGGGCTCCAACAGCCCATGTTAGAATCCAATGTGAACTTTACAAGCCCAACTCGATTTGAGTTCTAACAGTTTAACTCGATTTGAATTCGAGCAGCCAAAATTAGAATTCGATTGAGTTCTACCAGCCACTGTTCGAGTTCGACGCGAGTTCTACCAGCCCCGGTTAGATGTCGATGTAAATTCTAACAGGACGGGTTCAAACTCGATAATACAGTTAGAGACATACGCCCATATGCACATATACACATGCAACGATGCTCCTCCGCCTCGTCCGCGTGCTGACCCTTCTCACTCTCCTCCTGCTCCTGTTCCTGCCCCTGCCCCTTCCCCCCTGCCTTCCCCCCCACCCCCCTCGCCCCCCCCCGCCCCCCTTCCCCCCCCTCTTGCCCCCCCCCCCCCCCGGGGTCCTGGGCGGAGGCGCCGCCCGCCGCCGGCGCCGACGCCCGCCGCTGGGGGCCCGCGGGGGGGGGGCGCGGAAGCGCTGCTGCAGCCCGTGGGCGAGCGCACGGCAGGGGGGGGGGGGCAGGGGGCGGAGGGGCGGGGCGGGCGGGGGCGAGCAGAGGACGGAGGAGGAGTTAGAAGAGGGCGCCCATTAACAAGCGGGAGAGGGTGGGGGAAGCGGCGGGCGAGGGCGGGGAAGCACGGGCACTGTGAGCAGCGAGAACACAGGCACGAGCGCGGAGGCGGGGGCGGGATGGAGCTGGAGAGACGCGGGCGCGCATTGCAGGAGCAGGCAAATATTCCCACCGCGCGATGCTCATCGCGGAGAGCGCTTGCATCGAGGGCGGCGCGGCTGGCGGCTGCTCTGCTGCGCCAGCTTGCCCGTCTGTCAGCTGGGGCAGCTGAGCGCTCTCAGCGCTGCCGGGCGGACCTGGCTGCCCCAGCCCGGCCGCAACTGGCGCGGTCTCAGTAGGGGCCTCGCCCGAGCTGTTGCAGCCTGGCCTTGGCTGTTCCAGCGTAAACTCTTACAGCCTAGTCAAGCTGCCGGCTGCCTCGTCGGAGCTGCGCAGCCTAGTCACGCTGCCTCTAGTCCGGCTCGCAGAGCTCGTCGGCCTCCGGGTTTCACTTGTTATTCCCTTTCTCCTCGGAGACCATCGGCAGGGCGCGCGGCGCATCAGCGCGGGGGGCGGGCCGGAGTGGCATTCCCCCATCCATTCCACCTGCGCGCCCACGGGGGCGCCGAAGATGCGCCCCCTGAAGCGCCGGCCGTTGCACCGCTTCTGGATGTTGCCGATCCAATACTTCTTCTCATCCCAGTGCTCGTCCACCTCGATATGGATGGCAATGCGGGCTTAATGCTTGTTCTGCTTCTGGACGAGGCAGAACGCGATGTCGCCGACGTTCGGCTCGGACTCGCCCTCCTCGCCGATGGAGTGGCACCCATCCTCTGCTGTTGCAGCTTGGATTGGGCGGAAGGCGCAGGCGCCGCTACCTTGCCCCAGGGGCCGCATGCCGTTCCCCGAACTCCCGTGCCAGACGGAGCGCTTCGCCCCCAGGGCCCCCCGAATCAGCATGTTCCTCTTGCCCCGATGCCTGGGCCCCATGCCCCAGCGATCGGGGTCGTTGCTTGGCACGATCGCCCAGTCGGGGCGCAGCGGCGGGACTGCCTCGCGCGGGCCCTCCAACGCCGAAGGCGGCAGCCGATCTGGCTTCGCCTCCATGACCTCGTCTGCCTCTGCGTCGGGCAACTTGGCGACGCGCGCGTAAATCGTCGAGGCATGGCGCCGCTCTTCGACTGCTGCAACTGCTTTGGCGGCTGTTACAGCTCTGGTTCGGTCCAATTCAGCCTTGCCCCCCAATCCCACGCGATCGGCGGTCGCTGCGCTGGGGGGCTTGGCGGTCGCCGCCCGCGTAGCTGAGCCGCGGGCCCGCTCTGCCTGTCGATGCTCCCGATGGTCTCGCTCTGTCTCGGCGGCGTCTGCTCCACCTCTGCTCTAAGCTCCCCGCGGCGCCGCGGCCGCGGGGGGCTTCTTCGGCGGAGGTCCAGGCGTCGCAGGCGGAGCAGATGCAACTGGCGGCGACGGCGAGTTCGCCGTGGAAGTTGTCGGCAATGCCGCCGCCATGGAACCGCGCGCGTGAGGTGGCCCTCTGCTCGGCATCCTATTCGGAAGAGGTGCTGGATCCATCTGCGTCGGAGTGGCAGAGCTGCGTGCTCTGGACGTCAATGACAGAAGCTGCGAAGGCGTCTTGCTCTGCGTCGCTCGCGCGGCCCCCTCAGCAGGGGCGCCAATTTGCCTCTTCGGGGCTCCGTGCCACGGCTGAACGTCAAAACGTCGCGGCTGGAGTCGCTCGCCGCGGCGGTTCATCTGCGCGGTGTCCAGCGGCGGTGTCGCTGGCCCCGTCGACGTTGGTCCAAGAGTAGGAGCCGTTGCAGCCGCTGGCCTTGCTGGAGAAGGCGACGATGATCCAATGGCGAGAGCTGGCGTTCCGACGATGATCCAGGAGTAGGAGCCGTTGCAGCCGCGGGCCTCTTCTTAGCTCCGAGCTCCCGAGGAGGACTGGCAGTGCCCTCTCCCGGATGACCCCCTGCCTGCCAGCCGAGCACCCGCCCGGCGTCGGGTTGCAGACCCCCATAATCTCCTCGGATGCCGTCGTCGTCGACGCACGGCCTGTCCCTGATCACGTGGCTGGGGTCGTCGTCCAAGGCTTTCTGCTTGAAATCGATCAACCTCATAGGCGCCGGCATCACTCTACCGCTGCGATGCCTCGTGCGTCGTCGAGGTCACCCCGGCGCCGCCCCCGTTGCCAGCGCAAGCCCTCGCGGAAGTTCTCGAGGCAGTCCCGGGAGCCCACCTGGGGACTAGCCGGATCCGGGGGAGCTGTGGCGCAATGCTTTCGCCCCCCCCCCCCCCCCATCGCACTCCTCATTCTCCCCCCTCTCCCCGCCCCCCCCCACCCCCCGCCCCCTCCACCCCAAGTCGAGCTCGAACAGCTCATGTTAGAACACAATCGAGCTCTAGCAGCAGCTCTAGCAGCCCATGTTAGAACTCGATTGAGTTCTAACAGCCCATCTTAAAACGCGATTTGAGTTCGAACCACCCATGCTAGAATTCGATTGACTTCGAACAGCCCATGTTAGAACTCGATTCGAATTCTAAAACCCATTGGGGGCCACAGCGGGGGGGCCTAGATCGGGGGCCCCCCCCCCTTGATCGACGGCCTCGAAGACGGGCCCGAGGGGCGCCCCAGGGTTCCCGAGAGAGCCAAGACAGCCCCTTCTCGGGGCCCACGGGGGCCCCAAGAGGGCCCCCAGACGGCCCCGGGAGGGCCCCGAGTGGCCTCGGCGAGCCCAGGATGACCTCCAAGATGGCTCAGATAACCCAGGCCGGCTCAAGACGGCCCCAAAGATGCTCCGAGCGGGCCCGAGACCGCTTCAAGAGCGCCCAAGAGCGCCCCAAGAGAGCCTCGAGAAACGGCTCGCGGGCGCCCGGGGGAGGGGGGGTGAGTTGGGGGCCCCCCATCCTGTAATCCATGGCCTCGAAGATGATCCCAAGAAGCCTTCCAGGGTTACCGAGAGGGTTCCAGGAAGGCCCCCAGAACTCCCAGAGAGCACCAGCAGCAGCAGCAGCAACCGCAATAATACCTTTAGATGGTTCCATGAGTCCTCGCCCGCGTCGCCCTCGTTCTTGTCATCGCCCTCCTCGTCCTCATCCGCGCCCTCGCCCTCCTCGCGCCCCTCGCCCTCGCCCCCCCCCCCCTCCGCGCGCGCACTTCCCCGCGCCCCCGCGCGGCCCCCGGGGGTGGCCCGAAGAGGCCTTCCAGGGCCTTCCCATTCTTCCAAGAGATCTCTCGGTTCACCCCGGTTGCTCGCCACGTTTCCCTGGGCGTGTCTCTCCGCCTCTTCTCGCGGGCAGGGCTTCTGGGCGGGCTGGTGGGGGCGCGCGACGCGCGGGGAATTAAATTCCAACAGCCCATGTAAGAACTCCATTTGAACTCTCGCAGCTCATGTGGGAACCCGATTGAGTCCTATCGGCCCGCGTTGGAACCCGATTTGCCTTCCAACGCCCCGCGCTAGAGCTCAAACCGGGGCGCGGGGGAGGGGCGGGGACTGGCCTCGCGCGACCGCTGGCCGCCCCTGGCCTCGCTCTGTCGCCCTGGCCCCCGCCCTCGGCGACCCGGCGCATCTGCGCTGGAGGCGCAGCGCGAGCGCGCGGGCGGGCCGGGGGCGAGGCGCGCGGGCGCGGGCGGCGCGGGCGCGCGGGCAAGCCGACGGCTACGGAAAGAGAGAGAGACGGAGAGAGAGACGGAGAGAGAGAGAGAGAGAGAGAGAGAGAGAGAGAGAGAGAGAGAGAGAGAGAGAGAGAAAGAGAGAGAAAGAGAGAGAAAGAGAGAAAGAGAGAAAGAGAGAAAGAGAGAGAGAGAGAGAGGAAAAGAGAGAGAGAGAGAGAGGGAAAACGAGAGACCGGACAAGTAGGCGGACCAGGGTCCGTCCGCGAGGCGCACTGCGGTGCGACAACTCGCCAAACACTATTTGCGGCGGTGCAGCCTTGAGATACGAGGGCGGGCAACAAACCCCCTCCCCCGGCGCAATGCGACAGACGCTACAGACGGCGGACAGACGGTGAAGATCTCACGTGTCAGACCGCGTGACGAAGAAGGCCCCAACAAGAAAGGCGACGTGCTGACACGTGGCTAGGCGGCTTGGCAGACCGCCAGTTGGGCGCTTGGCCGCAACGCGGCGCGCAGGGACGGGGCACCCCCCGCCCCCACGCCCTGACACCGTGGACGCGGGGCCACGCGTACACACGGGCAGGCAGAATGGCGGAGATTAGCGCGGGGCTCCAGGCGGAGCGCCGCGGAGCGATGACAGCATAGCATGGAGGGTGAGTGGCGGCGCAGCACCATCGGGCGAGGGTGTAAGCAGCTCGGCGAAGGCACGCCCGGCGCGGTGGAGGCGCTGGAGCAGAGGGCCTTGACGGGCTTGAGCAGCGGCAAGGTCGGCGGCGAGAGCAGCACACCTCTGCTGAAGAGCGGCCATAGACTGGGACAGCTCGGTTTCGCGGTCGGTGAGGGGCGGCTGCTCTGTGCCTGCGGCCGCGGGCCTCGTGGCAGGGACGAGGTCATCGGTGCGCCTGGCCAGGTGGTGGACCAGCGCGGTGCGGCGATCCGTGTGCTGGCGGCCGTCGCCCTTGAGAGGCGACTGGAGGGTACCGCGCGGTCCCAGGGCTGAAGCCGCTAGGGCCACGCCCCGTGAGGACGGAGGAGCCGCAGCCTCGCACCCAGCAGCAGTAAAAACGTGGGCGGGGTGCGACGGCCTGACTGGCTCGGTGCCCTGCGGGGGGGCTGGAGCCGCCCCCGCGGGCTGGCGCTGGTGGGGGGACGGGGTGGGTGGCGCGGGGGGACCAATCATGATGCCGTGCGAGGGCTCGGAGGTCGGCCGCGTGGTCGGGTGGCGTCTCGATGGAGCGGCATCGTCGGCAGCGTGGGGTGTCGGCGGGGCGTCGTCTATGCTGCCACTCAATCCGAGGGGATCATAAAGGTTCTCGTCGGCGTCTTGACGGTGAGCGACGTCATCATGTGGGTGCGATGTCGCTCTCGGTGGCGGAGTCGAGGTGGGCGTCGAGAGGCTGCCCGACGGGGCAGGGTTGGCGCTGGCTGGGCCGTCGTCCAAGAAGTCTAATCCCCCGCCGAAGCCGAACGGGTCGTCCTCCTGTTCGTCGAGCATCGCCCGTTGGGCCTCGGCCCAGAGCTCATCCGGGTTCTGCGGGATGTATGGTCCAGCCGCGGGTGGTGCCTGGTCCGACAGCAGGGGGTTCGGTTCCATTTTGCTGAGTTCCGCTGCTGTAAACCCAGCCCTGCGGTGTGGGAGCGGCAGAGTACGGTGTCTGCGCTCATAGATAGCGACAGCGACCCCATGAAGCACGGTCGCTTGGCGATGTCGTGTTTTGGCAGCTTCAACAGTGTCGTCGGGAAGGTTGTGCGTGCGTGCCGCCGCTGTGGCAAGGGCGTCGGCCTGACGGTTGAACTCCTCCGCGATGGGCCCGATGAGCCCAAGGTCGATGCCCAGGTCTCCCAGGTGGCTGGCGATTTTTTCGACGCGAAACATGTTGGGCTTGGCCATAACACATCGGTGGATCTTTTCCCAGAGCTCCGCGTGCGTGCCCTGCGGCGCTGGATGTCCGTCGATGATGCTTTGGAACCCATCGACCACCGCCTGGTTGTCCACGAAAACGTGCACGGGCCGTTCGGCACATGCCGTAAGGTGGACAATGGCGAGGGTCTCCGCAACCTGGGCGTTCTGCGTTAGGCCGTGAACGCGTGCACTGTAGTTCATGCGGTGGTCGATGCCGTAGTAGACGCCGTAGCCCGCTCGTGCTAGCAATGGGATGGCTTGGTTGGTGCACGCACCGTCCGTGGCAGCATAGACCCATGTCCAACCAGTGTCGTAGTCAAGGTAGGTGGTGTAGGTGTCCTGGGCTGAAGCCGCAGGATCACCCTCAGGGGGAGGGCCGCGGAATGGGCTGTGGCAGCGGGTCCCTCGCGAGGTCGGCCTGCAGGTCGAGGAGGGCTGGGTCTTCGTCGAAGAGCCCGCAGTGTCTTGTGTGCGGCGGAAGACGGGCCCACTGGTCGTCACTGATGAGGGTGGTGAGAGGGGGTCTTTCTCGGGCCCAGCACTTACAGTCGCGGACAGTGTGCTCCTGAGTTTCCTCTTCCTCGTCACAGTAGCGGCACA